TTAACTTACATAATATTTCATATATTATTAATAGAAATTAATATCAATTATTAAATTTTCGTTTTTATTATTTAAAATATGTTTGTAATAAAATATAGAATGTAATAATACAAATTTATTATTTTGTCTAAGCATATAATTCTTATGTAAAAAAATATCTACATATTTAATAGTATTTATTAATTTTGTATTTAATTTTTTTATGTTATTTACACACAAAATTCTGTAAAACAAAGGAATTAGAAAATTTTAATACAATTGTTTAACAAGAATAAGTGAACTATGCTTCTTCTAGAATTTAAGTTTTCATTTTATTTAATATGTAATATATATAATTTCAGATATATATTATTTACAAATATTAAACTAATTTTTTTTGAAAGTATAATTATTTTGTTCCTCAGATAAATAAATATTTATAAAAACAAAATAATTTAAATTACAAATCATAGAAAAAATTAAACATTCGTATAACTTTAACTTGTGTATTTTATATTTTATATTTTATATTTTAAATAAATATATAAGGAACAATAAAAATGTATTATAACAAATTACGATATATTATATATATATATAATATATTAAAAAGAAAAAAGTTTTTAAATAAGTTTAATGAAATTATAAAAGTAATAATAAGTAAAAAAAGAAAAAAAAAAGATTTGTTATTTGTCAAAAATGTCATAAACATATTCGAATATTTATCGTTTAAAAAATAATATTAATTTCTTATATTATCTAAAGTCTAAATATTCATCAAGGATTATTCTAAAGATAATTCTAAGCATTGTATGAAAATAAAAATTTTTTAGCAATTAATATTGTTTCATTAGAAGACAAAATCAATATGGAAAATCGATTTTAAAAAATAATTAAGAATAAATATAAGATATTTATTCTTATATATTCTTTTATATAAGATATTTAAAAAATATCAACATGAAAGTAGAAGTTCTTCAAGTTTCAAAAAAATTATTCATAAATTCTTTTTATTGTTAAAGATGTTAAAGAAAATTCTTAAGTGTATAGAAATTAATCATTAAAATGAAAAAAAAAAGAAGTTGGAATTGCCAGTACTTAAAGAAAATATGTAAAGACTGCATTTTGAAGAAAATAATTTATAAAAAAAATGCTACAAATTTATGGGATTTCTTAAAATAACGATTTAAAGAATGATTGTGCAAGAATATTACAATTATCCAAAAATTTTATAGTCATTTTTGTTTTTCCATTAAAAATGAATAAAATTATATGAATAAAAGTATAAATAATACTGCAATAAAAAGAAAGAATAGAAATATTATTGGATAGGAAAATGGTAAAAATTGACATTTATGTAATTCATAACATTAAATTGTTTTAAATATATTAAAAAATATAAAAAATAAAGCTAAAAAAAATCTATTTTCATAAAAATAGATAGTTATTTCACTTTTAAATTAAATTTATAAAATAATCGAACATTTTTGTGACAAAAATTCATATTTTTTCATTTTTTTTTGTATGTTAAATAATTTTGGATAAATTAACAATTTTTTTTAAATATTTATACATATTATATTGTAATGTGTTTTGTATATAATACATTTTTGTTGTTCATTAAAATGTTTTTTGAAAAACGCTTTTCGAAATGTTTCAAATTGAAACTTCTATAGAATATTGAATTTTTATCTTAGATTTACAACATTAATGATTTTCCTAATGAAAATATACAGTTTGCAGGAACAATAATACAATAATATGAAAACAATTTTTTTAAACATTTATAAAACTATTATAATGACCATTTTTGCAATCAACTATAGAAAATTATAATTAAATATGAATGTAAATAACTTAATAAATTAAACTTATAATTTCTCAAATCGATATAGCAAGAACACATCATGATATACATATTAAAAAATATTTAACAAATAAATTTAAAATTTAACAAATATTTTATTATATTATTTATAAATTAATTTAATAAACATTCCTAACAAGATTAATATTTATTAGTAGTTTGCATATAATATACCTGTATAATTTAATAATGTATTATGTAAATGATAAAATTATAATTTATGAATTTGTTTATTATACTAGGCACTGGACTACAATGTTTAAAATAATTAAATTCAAAAATTTTCAGAAAGTATATATAAATATTTTTTAGTAAATGTATTTTTATTCATGTATAATAAATATTTCATTTTGTGTAATATAACTTACAAAAAAGAAATTCTATATGCGAAATTTTTATATTAAATATTATTACGTTATAATACATACGTTTATATGTAAAATAATATATACACACAGCTGTATTACATTAAATCAAATTATTTAAATTTAAAAACATATTATGATAATTATAATTTATTATGCTCAAATGAAAAAATTAATGAATTAAATATATTATATCATAGATATCAATATTATCATATTTACAAGTGAAGAATTAAAATAATCAAAATAGAATTATGCGTTAGAATTTAATAATATTAAATATAAATAGCGATTGATCTAACATCGCAATATTTATTCATTGATCAGAATTTTCTGATATGCTTTATACAATTTCAAATTATAAGAATACATATGCAATACTTTTAATAAATTGTTAAGAATTATATATTCTCTACAAAACAAACTTATTGTTTAAATAGAAAGTATGCATTACTGCAATAATTCTGTTGTGATGCGATACATAAGAATTTAAAATATATGCAATACATATTGTCTTAATAAAATTAATTTGAAATAATATTTTTGGGTCCAAAATATAAACGATTTTCGATATAATTTAAATTAATATAATCATTAATCGTTTGATTAAATTCTAAAATTTTTATTGAAAAATTTAAAAATTAATGTAAAAGTTTTTTTTTTAATTAAAACTATATATAATGGATATTTTAATTTGTTCATTAATTTCTATCTAATAATTAAAATATATTTTCATTGTGATAAATATAAATAATAAATAATTTTAATTGTGATAATATAAATAGTATATATTTATATTATATTATATTTTTATTCGTTATCTTTAGTTATCTTATTTTATAGTTATCAATATTATTTTTTTTTATTTTTTTAAATGATAAAAAATGAGAAATGTTCTTGTTAATTAAATCTCGTTATTGCTTCTGTAATATTTAAAATATGTAATGTACGTCATAATATTATCAGTTACATTGCAAACTCGTTGTATGTTCAGTGCCTTTTTACATATATTCATATATATATAAAAAAACAATTGATCCTTTTATATTTATCTTCCAATCTTCATATGAAGAAATTCGATATAAAATAATTTGTCAAAAATTTCTTGTATTTTTTGCTGATCGAAACAAAGATATAAAATAATATAAAACTTAATTGAATATTGGCTTATTATATGTAAATATAAATACACGAAATAAGCCAAATTTGAATTAAGAGAATTATTTACATACACATATATACACATAATTTAGTATCAGTATACTCTTAATTTAAAACACATTATTTTTAAAAATAACCGCATATTTTTATAAATTTCGGTATTGATACAATGATTTGCTATATAAATAAATATAAATAAATAAAAATATATATATATATTTAAATATATATATATTATACATAAAAGATATATAAGAATATACGCGATCTATGATAAATGATATTTATATAGTTGTACGTTATCAAAGTAATATTGATATAAAATACAAAAAACTATATATGTATTAGCTATATATATATTAATTTATGGCGCAGCATATAAAATAAAATTTAATTATGCATATTTAATTTTATGTTTGATGTATCTATATCTACGTTTTTTCAATCTATATAATAATTATATATTTGTACATAAAAAATTCATTTGTTGCGTCCATTATATAATTAAAAATTATTCTGTAAATATTATAAATAAAAAATAAATAAATATAATAAAAAATGAAAAATCTATTTATATATTAAAATTATTGTTTGTAAAAATTAATTTATTAAAATGTGATAATATAATAATATAAATTAATTTAATTTATTATTTATTAATTTAATATTAATCAAAATTTG